CATGAAGTTTGCGTGTTCGCGTGGGTTTCCTCTGGGTTCTCCGGTTTCCTCCCACACTCCAAAGACATGCTGATAGATTAATTGGCTTCAGTCTAAAATTGTCCTAGTTTCATCCCTGGCCATGGTAGGGGTTGGGGAAAGACCTGGCAACCTACCCTGTAAAGGAATTGCTAAGAGAATTCATGGAAGAAGTTGCTTACGAGTGACGGTCTGTGCAATCTCCAAGGGTCGGATACGACTGAATGGATAGATAGGAGATGCTGCAGAAAAGCATGTAGTGTGTTTTTGAGGTGTTTTAATCTGCCCAGCAACAAAAAAAAAAATAAAAACCCGCAAAACGCATCAAAAATGCATGTGGAATAACGCACTGCAGAAATCGATCAAACGCAAACTGCATAGGTGTGAACCTAGCCTTATAATCAGTCACAGCAAACAGTTTTATTCCTCTTAGGATAACGGTTTTACATGAATAAATAGAAGCGGTTCATTGTGAGCACCCCTGCAAGTGGTAAATGGTTTGTCTCATCCTTGTAACTGCTACATCTGCAGGACAGATTGTTCTTTTGAAAAACAACAGACTTACTGGCTGGATCACCGGATAACAAAAAAAAAAGAAAAAAAAGGAAAAAAAGCCTAAAAGAAAAATGAATGCAGCCATCACATCTAGGGATCAGTAAGCCGCAATATAAGAAACGTCTGCTTTATGGGTTTAATACTGCTTTTACACATTGCATGTGAACACACTGAGATGCCAAGAATTGAACATTAAAGAAGAGCTTCAGCCAGGTTTCCAAAAAAAATTTAAAGTCAGCAGCTACAAATCCTGTAGCTGCTGACTTTATAAAAAGACACTTACAGCGCTCAGCATAAAATGAGTCCACCACTTTCGAAAAGTAAGATTTGAATCGATATCTCAATGAACACAAGAACCATTTCCAAAATTATTTATAGGGATGGAGGGGGAAGCAGAATGTCCCCTTTCCATTGCACCATGAATTGTTAGCCCTGGTCCTGTATCACTGACACAGAACAAGCATGCGGCAAGTGAAAATTAGTATTCCTCATCTCTAAGCTTGTTCTGGCTTTGTGCCTATGGTAGTCAGCATTTTCGGTTTTATGTGTAGTGATGTTCTTTCCACTTCCGGATTTTGGCCCCAGCAGTACTTACTGGAAAATTCAGAAGTTTAGAAATCCTTCTGTAACCAATGCCATCAGTATGTTTTGCAGCAATAAGGTTACGAAGGTCTCGAGAGGGTTCTTTGCTTTTACCCATCATGAGGGGATTCTTGGTAAGGAGACACCTTTGTATAGGCCATCAGTTGAGACTGAACCAGCTGATATTCATTTGCACTGACAAGGGGCAGGATTGCTTTCTAATTGCTGACAGACTTCGGCTGGTGTCTTGGCTTTCCCAGGCCTTTTTGCGCCTCACTTTCTTCATGTGTTCAATACTTTTTCCGTGTCATTCCATTTTATTACACATCATTTCATTTCTAAACTTACTTGCCTTGGTTTCTTTGTATGTATGGATTGCACGGGTTGTTACCGGCATGTGGGGGAGATTTCATGTCAATAGTACCTTTAGAAATACATTTACAGAGAAAAATGGTGACGTGTTCAATATTGATTTTACTCGAGATATATATAATAGAGAGGAGTCGGTGTATATATATAGGACATGTACAGGTGTATATAGAGAGGAGTCGGTGTATATAGGACATGTACAGAGTGTATATAGAGAGGAGTCGGTGTATATATAGGACATGTACAGGGTGTATATAGAGAGGAGTCGGTGTATATATAGGACATGTACAGAGTGTATATAGAGAGGAGTCGGTGTATATATAGGACATGTACAGGGTGTATATAGAGAGGAGTCGGTGTATATATAGGACATGTACAGGGTGTATATAGAGAGGAGTCGGTGTATATAGGACATGTACAGGGTGTATATAGAGAGGAGTCGGTGTATATATAGGACATGTACAGAGTGTATATAGAGAGGAGTCGGTGTATATAGGACATGTACAGGGTGTATATAGAGAGGAGTCGGTGTATATATATATATAGGACATGTACAGGGTGTATATGAGTGGAGTCGGTGTATATACAGGACATGTACAGGGTGTATATAGAGAGGAGTCGGTGTATATATATAGGACATGTACAGGGGTGTATATAGAGAGGAGTCGGTGTATATAGGACATGTACAGGGTGTATTAGAGAGGAGTCGGTATATATATGTAACATGTACAGGTGTATATAGAGAGGAGTCGGTGTATATAGGACATGTACAGGGTGTATATAGAGAGGAGTCGGTGTATATATAGGACATGTACAGAGTGTATATGGGAGAGGAGTCGGTGTAATATCTTATATGCCCCCTTTGGCAAGTATCACAAGCTTGTAAATGTACAGCCAAGAGTCTTTGTATCTTTGCTTTGGTTGTATATAGAGAGGAGTCGGTGTATATACAGGACATGTACAGGGTGTATATAGAGAGGAGTCGGTGTATATATATAGGACATGTACAGGGTGTTATATAGAGAGGAGTCGGTGTATATAGGACATGTACAGGGGTATATAGAGAGGAGTCGGTGGTATATATGACATGTACAGGGTGTATATTAGAGAGGAGTCGGTGTATATATAGGACATGTACAGAGTGTGTATATAGAGAGGAGTCATTATCCATATATAGGACATGTACAGAGTTAATATAGAGAGGAGTCGGTGTATATAGGACATGTACAGGGGTGTATATAGAGAGGAGTCGGTGTTATATATAGGACCATGTTCCAGGGTGTATATAGAGAGGGAGTCGGTGTATATATGAGGGACTGTACAGGGTGTATATAGAGAGGAGTCGGTGCATATTGAGGACATGTACAGGGGTGTATATAGAGAGGAGTCGGTGTATATTGGACATGTACAGGGTGTATATAGAGAGGAGTTCGGTGTATTATAGGACATGTTCGTTACAGAGTGTATATAGAGAGGAGTCAGGTGTATATAGGACATGTACAGGGTGTATATAGAGAGGAGTCGGTGTATATAGGACATGTACAGGGTGTATCTTAGAGAGGAGTCGGTGTATGAATAGGACATTTGTACAGAGTGTATATAGAGAGGAGTGGTGTATATAGGACATGTACACTCCATGTATATAGAGAGGAGTCGGTGTATATATAGGACATGTACAGAGTGTATATAGAGAGGAGTGTTTTATATCACAATATAGGAGCTGTACAGGGTGTATATAGAGTGGAGTCGGTGTATATACAGGACATACTTACAGGGTGTATATAGAGAGGAGTCGGTGTATTATTATAGGACATGTACAGGGTGTATATAGAGAGGAGTCGGTGTATATAGGACATGTACAGGGTGTATATAGAGAGGAGTCGGTGTATATAGGACATGTACAGGGTTTTATAGAGAGGAGTCGGTGTATATATAGGACATGTACAGAGTGTATATAGAGAGGAGTCGGTGTATATAGGACATGTACAGGGTGTATATAAGAGAGGAGTCGGTGTATATATAGGACATGTACAGAGGGTGTATATAGAGAGGAGTCGGTGTATATATATAGGACATGTACAGGGGGTGTATATAGAGTGGAGTCGGTGTTTATTACAGGACATGTACAGGGTGTATATAGAGAGGAGTCGGTGTATATATAGGACATGTAAGGGTGTATATAGAGAGGAGTCAGTTGTATATAGGACATGTACAGGGTGTATATAGAGAGGAGTCGGTGTATATATATAGGACATTTACAGGGTGTATATAGAGTGGAGTCGGTGTATATACAGGACATGTACAGGGTGTATATAGAGAGGAGTCGGTGTATATATAGGACATGTACAGAGTGTATATAGAGAGGAGTCGGTGTATATAGGACATGTACAGGGTGTATATAGAGAGGAGTCGGTGTATATATAGGACATGTACAGGGTGTATATAGAGAGGAGTCGGTGTGTATATACAGGACATGTACAGGGTGTATATAGAGAGGAGTCGGTGTATATATATAGGACATGTACAGGGTGTATATAGAGAGGAGTCGGTGTATATAGGACATGTACAGGGTGTATATAGAGAGGAGTGTGTATATAGAGAGGAGTCGGTGTATATAGGACATGTACAGGATGTATATAGAGAGGAGTCGGTGTATATAGGAGACATACAGGTGTATATAGAGAGGAGTCGGTGTATATAGGACATGTACAGGGTGTATATAGAGAGGAGTCGGTGTATATAGGACATGTACAGAGAGGAGTCGGTGTATATAGGACATGTACAGGGTGTATATAGAGAGGAGTCGGTGTATATATAGGACATGTACAGGGTGTATATAGAGAGGAGTCGGTGTATATAGGACATGTACAGGGTGTATATAGAGAGGAGTCGGTGTATATAGGACATGTACAGGGTGTATATAGAGAGGAGTCGGTGTATATATAGGACATGTACAGGGTGTATATAGAGAGGAGTCGGTGTATATATATAGGACATGTACAGGGTGTGTATATAGAGAGGAGTCGGGTGTATATAGGACATGTACAGGGTGTATATAGAGAGGAGTCGGGTGTATATAGAGAGGAGTCATGTATATAGGACATGGGGTGTATATAGAGAGGAGTCGGTGTATATAGGACATGTACAGGATGTATATAGAGAGGAGTCGGTGTGTATATAGGAGATGTACAGAGTGTATATAGAGAGGGTCGGTGTATATAGGACATGTACAGGGTGTATATAGAGAGGAGTCGGTGTATATAGGACATGTACAGGGTGTATATAGAGAGGAGTCAGTGTATATAGAGAGGAGTCGGTGTATATAGGACATGTACAGAGAGGAGTCGGTGTATATAGGACATGTACAGGGTGTATATAGAGAGGAGTCGGTGTGTATATACAGGACATGTACAGGGTGTATATAGAGAGGAGTCGGTGTATATATAGGACATGTACAGAGAGGAGTCGGTGTATACAGGAGATATAGAGAGGCCTCGGCGTACCTGATCATAGGGTTCCCTCTCCAGGATGCGGCCACACAGCTGGGAACATTTCTCGAACTTCCTCCGCCGGAAGCAGCTCCAGGCCTGCAGCAGAGGCTCCATCTCCAGCCCCATCCCGACACCCAGCGCAGACGAGACCGGGGATCAGGAAACTGTAGGCCCGCGTCTCTATGGAAACGGCTTTACCTCCGCATCCTCCGGGACAGCAACCGTTGGGTCCTTCCTCTACTTAGAGCTGCCCGTGTGCTTTGCCTGCCTGGAGGTGAGTCCGTACTGCACAATTACAAGGAGCTGCCTGCCTTTTGTGTGTACTGGAGAAGGCAAGTCCTTGTATTCCAGTCATCTATCAGAGGAAAGGGACATTATTAATACCAGGCAGCTCTGAAGCCACCCTCCTGTCACTGAGATGATAGAGATACAATGTATCAATCTGGAGTGTGGAATGTCTTCATTTCCAGAGGAGCCAATCAGAATGTGGGGCTCATTAGAAGCTATTGCCCTGTAAAACAAGGAATTAATCTTTATCAGAAGACTTGTCATGGTTGTACGGAGACTTTCCTATAGATGTGGGCTGTGTGTCCCCGCCTGGTACCGCGCTGACATTGCGTCCTGGTCACACTGCGCGTTCCCGCCATGACAACCTTTAGCTATCCATGGCGGTACGGCTCAGCCAAAAAAGAAACAAAAATGGTGGAAACGCGCAGCAAGAGCAATGCAAGCAACACCTTCCTTGTAATGGCAGCGCATTAGGCGAGTCAAAAATGTGCGCAAAAATCATGCAGATTCCCAACGTGTCCTGAAACGCGCTGTCCATTAGAAGACATGGGGCGCTGCCATTAATCATAAGGCCACACCATGCAGGTGCAACAGAGCACGCGCGTCTTCCCATGCGTCACATGTATTGCAGCCCAATCATTTTATTGGGCTATTCTATGCATGAAAAATGCGCAAAAAAAGACCCTTTTGCAAAATCGCACAGAACCCGCACGGTGCTGCAGGGGCATACATTACGGTGCACATGAAAAAATGCATTTTTTTCACCGCGCGTTTGCTAAAGGGCGGCGCGTTTCTGAGCATGTTGGGAATGCGCAGTTTTTACGTGCATTTACGTCACGCACAAAGTGTGAACATAGCCCTAATGACAGCCCCACGCATATGCGTCTGCCAAAGGGTTATGTGTTTTCTGTGCACGTCGGAAGAGCGCAGAATTTTGTGTGCGTCCCTTACAAGTGGGAACAAAGCCTACCCCAGTAATTAGATATATATCCTCCTTATACCCTCAAAAAGTTAATACTTTCCACCCTAGAAAGTGTTAAATATATAAGAAAAACCTTTTTGTGATGCAATAAATCCCAAATTAAATTCAAAATCCTAAATATAAACAAATAATATAATATAGATACACCAAATCAAAATAGTCCAATGTGAAATCCAAAAATATGTCCAAAATACGTCCAAAATAAGTCCAATACAGTGTCCAAATTTCAATCTTTTTTTCCAAACTGTGAAAATTATTCCTCCAAACAAGTACCTCGAGAAATAAAAATAAACAATCTAGTGCAATTCAATTAATTAAAGAAAATCACCCCGTGAAACTCCACACTTCACTGCAAAAATTTATCAATTTGTGAGAAAAAAAAAAAAATATATATATATTTGAATTAAATTATACCAATCTTATTTTGTAATAGTGCAAAAACACATCAATCCAAAGTGTACACACTCTGTGATCACTGCTACACAGTGAATACCTTCAACCACCACACAATAGTACCAAATACTATTACCCTCTGTGAATGTTTCAGGTGAAGTCCGGAAGTGACGAAAAACGCGTTAAAGGAGTGACATCAGGACGCACGTACGCAGACCGGAAGTGTCGCCGTGGCCATTTTTTAGGATTATCAAAACACATGGTGGAGGAAATGTTTGTTTAGCAGACAGAAACCATGGCTGGAGCTGATAATCGGAATTTTATGTGTGAGTTACTAATAAATATTATCCCTATGTTTTGAATACTGCTCCTAAGACCATTTATTTTTCTGAGGACCTGGAAAATATTCTTGAAGAAGATCTTTGGAGGATTACTGATCCATAATGTTGGTAGAGCTTTCATAACATTCACAGAGGGTAATAGTATTTGGTACTATTGTGTGGTGGTTGAAGGTATTCACTGTGTAGCAGTGATCACAGAGTGTGTACACTTTGGATTGATGTGTTTTTGCACTATTACAAAATAAGATTGGTATAATTTAATTCAAATATATATTTTTTTTAATTTTTTTTTTTTTCTCACAAATTGATAAAATTTTTGCAGTGAAGTGTGGAATTTCACGGGGTGATTTTCTTTAATTAATTGAATTGCACTAGATTGTTTATTTTTATTTCTCGAGGTACTTGTTTGGAGGAATAATTTTCACAGTTTGGAAAAAAAGATTGAAATTTGGACACTGTATTGGACTTATTTTGGACGTATTTTGGACATATTTTTGGATTTCACATTGGACTATTTTGATTTGGTGTATCTATAGTATATTATTTGTTATATTTAGGATTTAGAATTTAATTTGGGATTTATTGCATCACAAAAAGGTTTTTCTTATATAAAGCCTACCCCAGGTTCACCCCTAAGCGTTTCCCGCAGCGTTTTGCAGAAACGCACAGCAGTCCTTTTATCATGATTTCCTATGGGACAGGTTTACATCACCGCATTTTCTTCTGGTGCGTTTTTGGAAAGGGTAAGGCTAGGTTCACGCCTATGCAGGTTGCATTTGGGGAGTTTCTGCATTGCATTTTGTGTTGCGTTTTTGCCTCATTTTTTATGCATTTCGCTTTTTTTTTTCATTTTAATTTTTTCTTGTTGCTAGGCAGATTTTAAATGCAAAACGCATCAAAAACGCTGAAAAAAACGCAATCCTCTGGATCAACTGTGGGTGTAGGATTATAACAATTTTTTTTTTTAATGGTTGAACTGTCTTTTTTCACGGAATTGTTCATTTTTTCAGCATTTCCATTGGCCTATAACAAAAATGCAACGTCAAAAACAGTGCTTTTCTGCAGCGGGTGCACGAGAGATGTTCCATAGGAAATCATTGTTAAATGGACTGCTGTGCGTTTCTGCAAAACGCTATAGAAAACCTTAGGTGTGAACCTAATGCAACGTTTTGCGTTGCGTTTAAAGTGTTTTTGAAGTCCATTTTCTTCATTTTTTTTCCTGTTGCTAGGCAGATTTTAAACGCAAAACGCAGCAAGAATGCAATACATGCATTTATGCAGCATTCCCATTGAAGTCTATAGAACCAAAAACGCAATGTTTTGTGTTCAGAAAAGTCCCCGATCCTTTCCAAAAAACGCACCGGGTGAAAACGCGGAGATGTGAACCTGTCCCATAGGAAATCATGATAAATGGACTGTACTGCGTTTCTGCAAAACGCTGAGGAAAACTCTTAGGTGTGAACCTGGGGTCAGCGACTTTTTGAACGTTTTTGGTTCTATAGACTTCAATGGAAATGCTGCTAAAAAGCATGTATTGCGTTTTTGCTGCATTTTTTCATTTTAAATCTGCCTAGCAACAAGAAAAATTTAAAAATGTAAAAAAAAAAAAACCTTGCAAAACGCAAAAAAATACTTCAAAACCGCAGGTGCAAAACAAAACACAATCCAGAAACGGCTCAAACACAACCTGCATTGGTGTGAACCTATGGTTATCCAGATTTACCCCCTTCATGACCAGGCAATATGGCACTGCGCTAATTTAACTGGTTATTGTGCTGTCATGCAACACTGTACCCACATGAAATGTATATCATTTTGTTTCACACACACACAGAACTTTCTTTTGGTGGTATTTGATCACCACTGGTGTTTTTCTTTTTTCTTTTTTATTATATGAAATGAAAAAAGACTGAGAATTAAAAAAAAAAAAAAAATTAATTCTGCTATAAAACATGACGGGGGCACTATTCCTCCAATGACACCAATGATGGGGCAATATTCTTTCCCAATAGACACCAATGATGGGGCAATATTCCTCCAATGACACCAATGATGGGGCACTATTCCCCTCCCATGACACCAATTGATGGGGCAATATTCCTCCTACTGATACCAATGATGGGGCACTATTCCTCCCACTGACACCAATCGATGCACTATTCCTCCAGATAACAATGATGGGGCACTATTCCTCCCACTGATACCAATGATGACTATTCCTCCCAAATGACACCAATGATGGGGCACCATTCCTCCACTGACACCAATGATGGGGCAATATTCCTCTACCTGATACCAATGATGGGGCACTATTCCTCCCACTGACACCAATGATGGGCACTGATACCAATGATGGGGCCTATTCCTCCACTGACACCAATGATGGGGCACTGACACCAATGATGGGGCACTCCCCACTGACACCAATGATGGGGCACTATTCCTCCCACTGACACCAATGACACACTAAAACCAAGATGGGGCACTATTCCTCCCACTGACACCAATGATGGGGCACCATTCCTCCTACTGATACCAATGATGGGCAATATTCCTCCCACTGATACCAAGGATGGGGCACTATTCCTCCCACTGACACCAATGATGGGGCACCATTCCTCCCACTGATGCCACCATTCCTCCCACTGACACCAATGATGGGGCACCATTCCTCCCACCGAATGATGGGCACTATTCCTCCCACTGACACCAATGATGGGGCACTATTCCTCCCACTGACACCAATGATGGGGCACTATTCCTCCCACTGACACCAAAGATGGGGCACTATTCCTCCCACTGACACCAATGACACTATTCCCTTCCACTGACACCAAGATGGGGCACTATTCCTCCCACTAACACCAAAGATGGGGCACTATTCCCTCCTGACACAATGATGGGCATTCCACCAATGATGGGGCAATATTCCTCCCACTGATACCAATGATGGGGCACTATTCCTCCCAATGACACCAATGATGGGGCACCATTCCTCCCACTGACACCAATGATGGGGCACTATTCCTCCCACTGACACCAATGATGGGGCACTATTCCTCCCACTGACACCAATGATGGGGCACTATTCCTCCCACTGACACCAAATGATGGGGCACTGA